GTGGGTGTCAGAGCCTCCTGCCACCGCCACTACTGGTTCGCCCGAACCGGGGCGAACTGGTAGAAACCCTGATATATAATTGAAAGCCATGTACAATGGTGAATGTGGTGGGATGAATTAATTTTAATTTGAGTGATTTCCTTCATTTTTGCCTACATCTTGAAGTCTACTATCTGGAACCAAGTGCTAAATAATAGTTCAGTAAATGGGAAGAAGAATGCTCAGACCTCATCCTCATAGATAAGTTTAAAGTGCTATCCACCACCTTGAACTGCCAGCATAAATTATGTTCCTCCCAAATATGCCACAGTAATGAAGCTGATAAATGATGCTGTTCCAGTTTACTTACTGCAGTCCAAGTCAAGGAAAGGGATTGGTGGATTCCACCAGCTTTATTTTCCCTCCCACTCAGCATCGTTGGGGAAACAAGAACAAATTGTCTTCCAAATACAGCCTGGAACAAGTTTCAACAGATGTTAGAAGGGCAAGTTTTTAGCTTTCTGTCAAGTAGTCTGACCAATAGATGGCAAGCAGAGTATACTGGAAGGAGCTGCCTTGATATTCTTTGCAATCTTTCTTCTGCGCATGTTACTATCAGGTAAACTATTTCTACAAATAACTACTATATGTAGACACACACACAAACACACACACACATCTGGGTAATGAAGTCTTGCTCATGGTCACCCATGTCCTAGTCATCTCTCAGTTGGATTACTGCAACACCATGGGGCTACCCTTGAAGAGTATTCATAGCCTACAGCTAATGCAGTATGCAGCAATGCGCATAGTTCTGTGGGCCCCTAGGGTGCTACATATAACATTACTGTTGGGTGACTTGCATTTGTTACTGGTTTGCTTCTGAGTCCAATTCAAAGTGTTGATTATTACCTTTAAAGCCCTATATGACATGGATCTGGGATATCTGAGGATCCATCTCACTCCAATGGGACTAGCCCATTGCACCCAACAAAAGAGGCCATCTGCTAAGGAATTTCAAGGAAGTTCTCTCCTAAGGAAGAGCCTTTTCTGCTGTGGCCCCATCCCTGTGGAAAACTCTATTGGAGGTGACAACTATTCCCACCCTTTGGCCTTTTAGAAGACTATTAAAACTTAGTTTGGCTGGTTGGCTTGAGCTGGAGGTGGTTGATGGGGTAAGAAGACCTCATCCCTGTGCCATCCATCTAGCAGACATATATTTTGTATAGTTTTAATTTTTTAATTTGCATTATTTTAATATTTTTAATTATTTTTCTATTTTTTATAATCTGTAAGCCGCCCACAGTCACCTTAAAGACAAGATGGACAGCATCAATATTTAATAAATACTAAATAATGAAGTGTTCTTCTGAAAAAAGCACTAAACTTGTATTCAGGAATGGCTGACCGATAACAGTTATTGGAGGCAGGGGTTAAGAGTGAGATGGGCCATGGAGTGAAGGAAATCTCCCAATGCACCTGCTCAGCACAATCCCTTCTCTGTTCCTGTTACCTGTTTATTATGCTGTATTTGATCATTGGTTTAGATTCTTCTGAAAGGTTACTAAAACCATGGATTACCAAGGAACCCACTTCTGAGCTCATGATTGGCAGCATGCAAAAGTAGGCAAGGAAAGGCCAAGGAAAACACATATACCAGGCTAGACCACTGGAACAATGCAGCTGCTACTGATACACACTCTCTATCAGTGGGGACATAAGTAATGGTGAGATATCGCATAAACAGCCATGGAAACTGCAGCTGAATAAGATTAATCCTGTAAAAATTCTCCAGTCAGAACATCACTTGTAGTGTTTTTATATAGTCCTCAGGGATAATAAAAAGTTTAGCAATATAAAACCTTGTAATGGAAATCATGTAGTTGATGCAATGATAGCAGAACTACCAACACAAAGCAGGCAGAGCCCAGCATGTTTTCCCAGTTTAAATGTATTTTCTGGGCCAAGTGGGATTAGTATTCTTTCAGTAGCGCACTAAACCTGTATTTCTAAGGAGTCACAAGAGACTAGCTGAAGCTAAAGCTCAAATACTTTGGCCACATGAGAAGAGAAGATTCGTTGGAAAAAATCCTGAAGTTGAGAAAGATTGAAGGCAAGAGAAGAAGGGGTTGGCAGATGATGAGATGGTTAGATAGCGTCATTGATGCAATGAGCATAAATTTGGGCAAACTCTGGGAGACAGTGGAGAACAAGGGAACATGGCATGTTGTGGTCCATGGAGTTGTGAAGAGTTAGACACAACTTAGCAACTGAACAACACATGAGACTTGACAAATGCTGTGAAAAGCACTCATCAAGTCTTATGTAGACAAAAGCCTCTGAACAAGCCAGGGTCCAATGTCTCAAGTTAAAATAGTCCTAGAGAGCACTGACCAATGAGGTGGATCTGCAGCAACTTGAAATTCCTAATCCATCAGGAAGCAAATGATTAGTGAAGAGTGTGAGGCCATAACCTGGACAAAAATTGATCCAGGAGAAGGGAAACAGCCCTCCTTCAAACCTGGAACTGTTCAGGACAACTTTAAACTTACTCAGGTACAGGCTGGGAATGAGATGAAGACAACATTCTGAGGATGTGGCAGAGAATGAGGTTTCTGGGCCATGTTTATACTTTGGTTCAGAGCAAATATATATTTTCAATACTAGGAAAGCTCTTTTAAACAGAGTCCATTATTATTTTCCCCAGCTTTCTCCATTTCACTAACCTAATTTCCTTAGAGGAAAGTGTTGCTATGGTTAAACAATTGGAAGATCCTTAGTAATTGGCTGTGACTCACCCAGAACTCGATCCTGAATCCCGATCTACTATTTGCTCAGTTCTAGAGAGTGAGATACAGAAACTCATCTATGTACAGAGCTCACTGAATTATATACAGATATATGACAGTGGTATTATAGCCAAATATTGCAGGGACATGATATGCAGACATATTTTGGATGGTATAGGCATTTGATGTATTATGTTAATTATAGCCTTGCTTTTGTGCCAAATTCGACTTCTAAAGTAGCTCACAGCCATTAAAATTACAGTGCCAAAGGCTGTTCTCATTGAGACTGGGACCCAGGTTGTCAGAGAAATTGTTAGCAGCTGCCTTCTTTTTTTCCATTCATTTCACTGATGGAAGCTGTCATTCTGGCAGAGAAGAGCCTCAAATATGGGGAGAACTAACAGTTAACTGGTGGTATAATATTTCCAATAGTCACAAGTGGAATGAAATATCCTTCAGGTGAAAATGAGAGAAACCTTGTGAAAACAGATTATCCTGGAACATCTTTTGTTTCTGAAGCATCTCTGGGCTGGTATTATTTTTTTTAAGAATAACTGCTGCTCTTTGATCAGATATAGTGAATTCATCACAATATTTACTGAATTTTTAATTTGAGCAAATGTCTTGGGCCAATGCATAGGACAAGACAGATTTTGAAAGATCATATGTATTTATGATCTTTCATATGAAAGATCTTTCATATTTATGATACATATCACTTTCATATTTATGATACATATCACTTGTACCATAGAAACTCATGCCAAGAAGTTGGCAATGTACTGTTGAAACTGCAGAAGAAACAGGAAATCACAAAGGTAATTTCACATCTCTGTTCTTAAAACATGGTTATCCCATAGACAACATACCTATGGTAACTCAGAACTATCTCCATGACGATGGAGAAATATGCATTATGATGTCAAAATGAAAGCCCTATTTGCTTGGCAATTCATTTGCAAATATATAAGCGAAGAGTTTGGTTACAATATTACTAGCATGCTTCATCCCTTAAGTCCCCATCTCTATGAGAATACATTTTGTGATCACAATTGGGACTGGCAACTTGGTCATAAATAAAGTGGTCACTAAATGAAAACACAACTGTGCTTATGATCTTATTTAGAACTTTCCTTTATTTTACAGACTTGCAAAGTTTGTAAAGATTGGTTGGTTGAAAGTTATTTTTACACTACCACTGTAAATGCAAAAAGGCTGCTAAATGAGCACTGCTTATAATGCTGCCTTGAGTTTTTGGAAAGAAAGAAATCTAACAAATTAATGAACAATTCTATATGAATCAATGGAAGGATGGATGGATGAATATATGCAGGTTTTAAAGTATGGTTATTTACAATTGTGCAACTAAAATTAAGTACCCACTGTCACAAGAAAACACCTGACCAATTACCACCTTCCTGAAATGAGAGGAAATGGAACAAAATGATGAAGGTGGAGAAAAATGTTGCAAAAATAATTTTACATATTTAAAGGTGTTTGCCTTGTTAAAAGTTATAAAAACTATATTTCAACATACATAACATAGTAGCACATGAAAACTGCAAGAAATGGCAGTAAAATAGGTATTAAAAAGCCTAGGGAAAAAAGCCCAGCATATAATTAATAAAAGGGCATGGGTTGGGGGCTATAATATGTCCTCTGTACTTAACCAAATTTTCCTATACAGCTGGGATTAAAAAAAACATAATGTACACTGGCCCCTTCAGTCTACCTTGCCCAGTGTCCATTTGCCACCAACTAGTTGCAAAGAAACAACTAATAATACATATACAAAAGCTCTTACATTTGTAATACATTTTGAGAGAACCGCACACAGCATGACTATTTCTTATTGGAAGGTCAAACCTGCCCATTTTGTATTTATATTGTCCTTTGCAGCAGGAACTTACAAATGCCTTTTGGGGTGGCTTGCCATATCTTTTTCTATGCTTCCACTTGCACTGCTCCTTTACAAGTTAAGAAAAAAATTGACTGCCTTTTGTGAATTAGATGCAGCATTTTCCAACTGAAATGCATTGTTTACATTACATTATATATATTACATTATTTCATGTGTAAATATGTACAAATGTACACGCTTTTACGTCATAGAGATTAGCTCTCCTTGAATCCTAGGTATCATCATCATCATTGCCATTGTAGCCATCATAAAGTTATATTCCATGAAAAGGAAAAAAATAAATTTAAACTGGCCAGGTGACAACCCACAGGCAGTTCTGAGCTGAGGTTCAGTGTGGGTGAGGTTTTGGCTTCATATTCTCACATCTGGATCAGATTAGACATTCCAGCTTTTGGATGGATGAAGCTTTGTTCCTCCCTCCTCATTTCTGCCCCAACGCCTGAGTGGGCAGACAGCAGTGAATTCCAGGATAAAAAAGAAGACTCATTCTTTTCTCATATCTGTGCAAATTCAAGAGAATTGGTGTCCTTTTCCACCGTTTGGACAGACCTGTGCAGAGAAGGAAACATCATGGAGCTTTGGGCTTTGATGCAGCTGCTCCTCCTAGGAACACTGTTGGGCGCAGCTCAGGGACAAGGAGATGAACTCAGCTCTGAAGAAGAACGAAAAGCTCTGATGCTCAAGGTGAGAAAAACATTGCCTTTGCCCTGGTATTTCTGTCCTCAGCGGGGCTGTTGACCTAATAACTAGGCAGCTTCTTGGGCCAATACCAATCAAAGATGCTTCTTTGCTTGCTAGAAACAGTGAATCTTGAGTTGCTTTGTAAGTAGCTTAAATAGGTGTCACAGTAGCTTAAATAGGTGTCACAGAAAAAGAAAAGGAATGATTTAGAAGTCATTGAACCATCCCAGGAGATTCTGCACTGAAATTAGAGTGGCAAGAAAAGAAGAACCAAACAGTCCTAAAATAAACTTGGGTAGCTCTGACATAAAGATTTTCTTCATCTTTACTTGGCAATGGTCTTACAAAATTCATGTGGCCACTTTATGTAACAGAATTTCCCTCCTGGCAAGTTACACTTTACTACAAAATCTGGCAACAGGCATCCTGGCTCTCTAGCTCCCGCAGTTACACTTTCTCTAACTCTTTTCCTTATCAGGAAAAATTGGAATTTGCAGCTCTTTTGTTTCCTTTCTCACTTTTTGGAATGGTTGCTAATGAACCCCCTCTTTCAGACTTAAGTTCTGACCAAACAATTTGACAAGTACTGTACCTCCTTAAACCTGAAATCAGTCCTAGTGACATGCTATTCTTTGGCAAGGAAAAACTAAAAAAGAAGCCTATTTACAATATTGGAAATCACACTGATATAGCAGGGAGCCAAGAAACAAGAGAAGAGCCTAGAGCAGATTCTTCTAAACCAGGGTCCTCACACCATTTCTAGCCTTTCTTTGAGTCATAATCTCTGTATATTTAGAGGGCAGCAGGTTGAGAATATTGGCAGACGAGGAGCATAGGTGCTTGGGTTGCAAACAGACGAATCTAGCCAACCTTCCCTCTTGCCTTCCCTCCCTCTCATACAAAGAATATTATTTTGGAAGGAAATTTAAACTAGAGCCCATGAAAAGAGAGGGCACATGCTTTTCAATGTCATATATTTCTAAAGCATTTCCAATACAAATGCATGTCAATGTAACATTTTTGTAGCTGCTTATCCACATATTACAGCTCTCCTGTAATTAAGCACCTTATTTCAATCCAGAGGTGCCATCGTTTTTGGCAAATGCAAATGAGATCATGAGTAGATATTGGCCTTAAATTTTGGTCACTCTAAACCAGAAACTCAGATTTAGACAGCTCGCTTAACCATAGGTAAATCACAGGAATATGTCATGTTTTATCAAGAACAATGCAAAGAATTAAAATGGTGCCTGGAAAAATGTAGCATTATTCCTGCCTTTATCAAAACCAGGTATGCTGGCCAGGTACATTAGCCAAGTTGTCAAAGATCTTTGGAATCTGATTGGGTGTGGGAGGCTCCATGTGAACTACTTTTAGGGTCCCATCATTCAAAACCTGAAGCAAAACTATGATTTTGATTCTTCCTTCATATGTGTTAACAGAACATCAGTTCATCCTTTTTGAGAATTTGTAATCTGTATTTGTTGCATGCTAACAATCGGTTCAACTGCAAAGCTGCAGCCAAAAGATTTTTATATGAAATCTGAATAAAACAAAAGCTAAATTTAAAACCAGTGTTTATTATGATGGCTCCAAACATTTATGTAGACAGTGGATACAATTCTATTCTTTTTGCTATCTGTAATAGATGGACTCACAAACACAAACCTCATTTATCTCTTCCCTAGATCACATGTTTAAACAGTAACTTCATTGTTGTTTCTACATTGCATATAAGTACACACAAATAAAAATATTGCCACTAGTACCAATGACTATATTTCTGATGAGGGTGGATGTATAGTAACTACGGCAACAAGGAAAAGGAAGAAGAAACTTTGGGGGATTAGCAGCGGACTGGGATTGAAGAGACTATGCCAAGTTTCTAACAACAGTAACCTAGGTTCTCCCCTCAAGTAGTTTAGCAATATGGTTAGGCTTTTTCCCACCTTGTTATCCATCATAACTCTGTAAGAAGGATTTTCATCATTCTTAAAGGATTTGCTTGTTTTCTAGTAGGTATGTGTGCATTTATGGCAATGTGGTGGCAATATGTGTGTCAGGTAATATATTCACTTACATTGCATCAGGAAATCATGCAATACAGTGATGGGTTCCTCCTGGTTCAGCCCGGTTTCGCCGAGCTGGTAGCGGTGACGATATGACATCACCAAACCGGTTCTGGCCCACCCCACCCCCCGCCCCCTATTCCCCCTGCATTATTCTTACCTTTTATTTGGCCCCATCCCCAATCTATTGCTGCCTCCTGAGTCCCAGCTGATCAGCTAGAGGGAAAAAAACCTGTTTAAACTCTTGCCCCAGGGCTTCAAAGGGCTGCCCTACAACTGATCAGTGTTAAAAGAAAACAAATGAGTAGACTGGTGCCTGCAAAAATAAATGGGTAGACCAGTGCCTGCAAAAATAAATGAGTAGACCAGTGCCTCCAAAAATAAATGAGGAGACCGGTACAGCTCTGCAAGCAGTTAAAAGCCTGGTAAACCAGTACCTCTGCTAAATCCTAAAGAATTGTCACATGACCATCAAACCATGCCCACAAACTAAGCCACACCCACAGAACCGGTAGTATAAAATTTTAGAACCCACCCCTGATGCAATACTTTCCATTACAATTCTATCCTAATTCTTTTTTGTTAGCGTTTTCTATTACAATTCTTTCTATCACAGTGCTTTATGTGTGTGTGTTTATGTGCAGGTGTGTGTGGGTGCATGAGTGCACCTTCAGTCCATATTGACTGCTGGTGACTGCCTGGACAAATTGTCTCCTTTTTAGAGATGAGAGAAAGTGACTGGCTCAAGGTTATCCAGCTGGCTTTAAAATTACCGTGCTTTACATACCTTCGCAGAAATTTTGGGAAGAAACTTAGAACTCGAGTTCAGATTGCTCAGTTCAACAACTTTGAAAGGTGCTGGTTTAGAAACCAGAAGACTATCGATCAACTATCAAGGAGGTCTCACTTAGGCATGAAAACTAGCTGGTTGCTCTCTCTCAATCCAACTCATATCACAATTATTGTTTTGGGGAAAATAGAAGGTTGAATTATAAGGTATGTTTTCAGCCTAGGGTTGGCTATATGTATATATTATTAACATTCTTCTGATTGTTTGTTTGTATCATCAGTTAACAAGGTGCATCATTGCAGAACTATTTTTGAACGGAGTTGTCTCAACTCTGCTAACTTAAAGAATGCATAACAAATCTGGGACCTATTACTTCAGTGGAGCTGAAGTTTGCACAATATCAACACCATTTTTATTTACAAAGCTCTGGACATTGCAGCATGCTCACAGTCATGAAATTGTGCTTTCCAACAGTCCCTGTCAGCTTCTCACAAACAAAGTCAATGGGGAAACCAGGAGGAAGTCAGAAGTTGCTCCTACTTTAGCATTATGCCATGACAATTTTGAAATCACAGTACATTTTCAAATCAAACTAATAGCAATACAGATCATATAATCATATATAATCATATATCATATGACCCTCACTCTGTCAAGGACCTTGGAGTACTCATATCAAATGATCTAAGTGCCAAAGCCCACTGTAACAAAATTGCCAAAAAGGCATTAAGAGTTGTAAACCTAATCTTGCGTAGTTACTTCTCCGGTAATATTACACTACTAACCAGATCATGCAAAACATTTGCTAGACCAATTCTCGAATACAGCTCATCCGTTTGGAACCCGCACTGCATATCGGACATTAATACAATTGAGCGCATCCAGAAATATTTCACAAGGAGAATCCTTCACTCCTCTGCTTGTAACAAAATACCCTATGCCACCAGACTTGAAATTCTGGGTTTAGAAAATTTAGAACTACGTTGCCTTTGGTATGAGCTAAGCATAGCTCATAAAATCATCTGCTACAATGTCCTACCTGTCAATGACTACTTCAGCTTCAACCACAACAATACACAAACACACAATAGATACAAACTTAAAGTGAACTGCTCCAAACTCCTCTCCTGCGCGAGCTGCATTGGCTTCCGGTGGACTTCCAGGTGTGCTTCAAGGTGTTGGTGATCATATTTAAAGCGCTCTATGGCTTAGGGCTGGGGTACTTACGGGACTGCCTTCTGCCACCAATTGCCTCCCACCAGCCAGTTTGCTCCCACAGAGAGGGCCTCCTCAGGGTGCCGTCGGCCAGACAATGTCAGCTGGCGACCCCCAGGGGGAGAGCCTTCTCTGTGGTGACACCTAACCGCTGGAACAATCTATCCCCAGAGATACGAGTGATCCCAGACCTCCGGACTTTTCGTTGGGCCCTTAAAACCTATTTTTTTTCAGTTAGCCGGGCTGTCCTGATTTTATGGTTGGTTTTAAAATTTGATATTGATTTTAATTGAAATGTTTTAAATTATGGGCCAAACTTTATTTAATTATTTTAAATCTATTTTAACTTTTGTGTATGAATGTTTTATATTTGGCTGTTCACCGCCCTGAGTCCGAAAGGAGAAGGGCGGTATAGAAATCTGAAAAATAAATAAATAAATAAATAAACTCGATTGCAGAAAATATGACTTCAGTAATAGAGTTGTTAATGCCTGGAATGCACTACCAGACCCTGTGGTCTCATCCCAAAACCCCAAAAACTTTAACCTTAGACTGTCTACTGTTGACCTCATCCCATTCCTAAGAGGTCTGTAAGGGGCATGCATAAGAGCACCAGCAGGCCTACCATCCCTGTCCTAATGTTCCCTTTAATTGTATTCATTTTATGTATTCAATTTATGCTTATACTTATATATATTACATAATATGTACTCGACAAAATAAATAAATAAAATAATAAAATAAAATAAAAAATTTAACGCTCATTCTGGTTGCATCAGACTGCACGACCTTTTGCTCAAAGCATGAACAACAAGTCATAGGTTGTCTAGTACAGATAAGTGTATGTATGTAGGGAAGTATGAATATATAAATATATATGGGTGTGGGTGTATAAAATCTCTCCCTCCCCCCCCCCCCCCCCCCCCCCC